CGTCAACTAATACACACTTATCCACTTGGTTACCAATTATGAATAAGTTTTCTTCAGTCCAAGCATGCAGTGGTAACCCCTGAATTCTTGCCCAGACGAACCTCTCTTCTGTAATATCTGATGGGGACCAGATTTTAACCCAGTCAAAATAGTATGGCACCCACTCAAGATTCCCATCTACCAACTCCTTTATACTCTCCGGATCGTCGCCGTCGATTAACACAAGGTTGCCTCCCATTGGAACAATTTTGATCGATGGAAATCCTTCATTAAAGAAAATCTCTAGAAGACTTGGAATGATAGAAGGAGATAAAACAATCCCAACAGCACATTTCATCAGATTCTTTTCTACCTTGTCCGTTCCTGTTGCTCTATCACCTTTTTGTACTTGAAACCTCCAACGCCATGTATCTTATTTGATTCTCTATTTAAACTCCACGGGGAGTCTCTAGCCTCTGATGGTGTGGGTTCTTTCTTTCCTGTTTCTCTGGATTTTCCTCCATCTTTGTGTTGCATGAGGCATTGAGCGTATGTCAGTTTTGAATCCTGTCTATTTCCTTCAACCGCCTTCATGTGATCTTCATAAATGGTCCTTTTTTTGTTGCTCTGCCATCTTGCCTTCTCCGACAGCTTTGTAGTCATTTTGCGTTGCTCTTCTCTTCTATCCTCTACAAGGTTAAAGATCACCCTTCTGTTTCCAATCCATATGTTTTCTAGTTGCTTCTTCATCTCCTGATAACCCCTGGCATCCAAGAATCTGGCAAAACCATACCTATTGCCCCTTCTGTCCCTCTTACTCGGGATAAAGATATCCCAAAGTCTACCTTCTTTCACCGCTCTCCTAATGAAGAAGAATAGCTGCTTCGCTCCCCAATCTTCAAGAAAGTTGTAGAAGTGATATGACACACATTGCTTCAGTAAACCCTTGTTATAAGTTGGCAATCTATGCACGAAATCCTTGAAATCGGTTGCCGACTTGCTGTTACTGTGTCGTCTCCTGTCTCCACGCTCAGTCACCATTTTTTTGTCAATTTATATTTTTAATTAAATTATTTTATAATCGATGATTTGATTATTTTAAAGATAAAATTACAAATCAAATCATTTATATCAATTTTAAATTTTATAATTCAAATGAATCCAAATTAATGTTGATTTAGATTAAATTTTAACCAAAATTACGTCAATTTCAATCAAATGAATCAATTTAGATATCTAAGAAAATAACAAAAAGGAAAAACTATTGTTTGTAACAATGTTCTCCGAGAAGAAAGTGAGATAGGGCTTACTCTTTTTCGTATTGAATTCCATCTTTTGAACACAAAGAATCTCAGACAAGTTCCCTCTTGTACTTAGAAATTGAGAAATGATGGGAATAAATGCATTAATTTCATTTCTTATTCGTCATTCAAGTGATTTGACATTTTACCCTCATGGCTTTTAGCTCGAGAGTCATAAATGAGCAATCAGTGGTTCTCGCCCCATACTAAGTTAGGAATCTAATCATCCAGAAAATTATTTCCAAAATTGATTTGTAGGACAATTGTTCTTTCCTACAAATATCCTAGAATTGTTATAGAAAAAGAATCTCCCCCAAATTACTAGTTCATTGTGGACCTTGCTTTGGCAGGGCCAAAGTGAATGGCATTCTATCCAAAAACTGAGTAAAACTTTCCCTTTATACAAACCAAGTATCAGGTCAAAATAAAACAAGTAAGAAAGCTCAGTACATAGGAATCTTCAAAAACAGAAAAGTTAATAACAGCAGATGTCCCAAGTTTAGCAAAATAGTTAGCTGCATCATTAGCTTTGCGGTTGATATGAGTTAGTCGAACATCGGAAAAACACTTCATGGGCTGCCTACAATTGCAATCACTGACCAACACAGCAAGAGGGTATGATGAAGATACCTCGTCATCATATCAAGAAACATTTTCCAACACACACC